AAAGAGTGAAACATGAGAACGGGGTTATCAGGCTGACAGATAGAAATCATTAGTCCACTTTAGTGGCCTTTTAGAACAGCTTAGCTTTGTTTGCTTTAAAGAAAGTTCACTGGGTCAAAAGCAGAGGGTTCTACCTGCACTTATCAGCTCAAAGCAGAGAACAGCACAAGTTTTCCTCATCACCTTGCCAAGTTAATGCAGCCCACACCTAGATAAATTGAATGAAGGTATGAGGAAGCCTAGTCTATACCTGAATGCATTAGTAAGGATGCTAATTATGGTAGTGGGATCCTGCAGGGTTTGGAAGAGAATTTGGGACAGGATTGAAGTTCTTAATTTCAAAAAGTGTCTCAAAGTGTAACACAGACCTTTGGTCTCTGACCTGGGAACATTTGTTACCAATGCTCAGATATTCAGTATGTTTCCCTGTACTGTGACTTTGCTTTAAGTTGTTCTCACACTTTTCTTTGTATTTGTCCTTAGCCATGGGGGGTAAAGGAGGAAGGCACTGAGCAGAAGAAAAGTATCAGTCCGAAAGTAAAGATTTGCAAGCAGTTCATCCTTTACCAACACAGTCATCTGACAGCTTCTCCCCTTCTTTTCTCTCCCTGTCACTGACATGAAAGGCAAAGTCTTTGTCACTTGCACAAATAAAGTTTCTATTAAAATGATGGATTCTTGCATGAAATTAGTGGGGATGGTGTTGAGGGGCAGTTTCTTCGTTGGCTAAACATTCTCTGAAGCACAGGCGCAAACAAACACAAGCCAATAAATGAAAGCTAAAAAGTACTTTGGACTGCAAGGGTGGCTTACAAAAATCCTGAGTTTAGCAACACCGGACTCTCCAATTACAGGTAGCTTGCTTTGTTTATTTTACAAAAAGTGATCACAGTGCAAAAGTCACCCGGTTGTGAGAGAAAGCACAGAAACACTTGGTAAGGGGCATCCAGCAATTCCCTTTGGGTGGGCTTCTAATGGGCTATCAGATTAAATTCTACTTCATTAAAAAACCATACAAGCAAATGAGAACAGATCCCAAGAAATTTCATACCTCAGAGATGCAACTGGTGTTTGTATCTCTCTACTGTTTCTAAGGTCTCTTTCACCTTACTATTTCAAGTCCCTGCTTGTTTATTGAGAGATGTCAGTTCTGTCACATTTGAACCATCACTTCATGTGATACCTGAGAACAGGTAAGCAAGGGAGCCCATCTGCTCTGGTATAGGTCTCTTGCTGTTCCCCACATGCCTGACTGCTTTCATTCGTATGTACTCATACAATGCTGTTTTCCCAGATCCTGGTGACATTGTCCATTTCCTATACAGATTCCCGCATACATACTTCTCTATAGTTCCATCTTCCTCCCATCTTTCTGGCTTCTCATTCTCCCTGCCCTATCACCTCCCTCCCTCTGTATTTCTAATAAAACCACACAAAGCAGCTTCTTCTTCCTTCTCCCCACCCCAAGATGAACAGAGAGAATGTACACCTTCAGGCTAGAAGTTAAGAGACCCTGGGTTTGTGGTGCATCTCTTTAAGGCTGGCAGACGTGTTTGTAGACAGAAAGATTTCATTTCAAAGAGACCTTGGTGTAAGGAGAATGGATGCAGTTCTCTAGTCCACCCTCCTGCTTGAAGCAGGGTTAACCTTAATGTTAAACTTGTTTGCTGGGGCCTTTGTCCAGTCAGGTTTTGAAAATATTCAACAGAGATGTCACAGCTTCTCTAGGCAACCTGTTCAAAAGTTTCACCACTCTCACAGCTGAGATATTTTTCCACATGTTGAAACAGAATTTCCTTTGTTGCAAAGTCACACTTACTCCAATGGATCATGAAGTACATACTTAATACTGATGTATCTTAGAGTTTTCCACTTTAAAGATTCACCCATAAATATGCTTTCCTGAACTTGCAGCTCAGCCTAAGTGGTGCAGATGGGACTAGAACCATCCTCTGCAGAGCTCAGTGCCTCCCAGTGCCAGTGCTGAGGACAGACACACTATTTGCAAATCATGCATCGTCACATCAACAGGAACAGGTGCTTTCTCTCTCCCCATACTTTCTGTACAATTACAAATTTAGAGATTTCTTCACACAGTACTAGTAGCTTATATTCATGTGTTAGCTTTCATATTTAAGGATTCCAAACTGGTTTTTTTCATTGCAAAGGAAAAGCAGCAACATAATCCCATGTGTGGTTTGCTTTTTTTATGGTCAGACACCTTTTAACTTGACTTGTGCAGTAGTTTATATGCTGACATGCATGTGAAAGCTTCCCTGCTCATTGCCTGCATGTTGGCTATCTGCTGCTAAATTGTTACCACTGCTAGAAATATTTAAATGTAATATTGCTGTTGTATTCCGTAACAAGTAAAGACAAGGAACAAAGAACACCATGACCAGATGAAATGAAGAAAGAAAAAATTAAACTGTTACGGAACAAAAAGAATGAAGTATTCGGGACTCACAGACAGCAACAAGCCTGCAAATCTGACTGAGAAATGTGAGACATGCTGTCTGGAATGGTGTTTTACATGTAATTTTCAGCCATTCTCCCAGCCTGTGTTTGTTCTCCTCTAGCATCTCTCCAGACCTCAGCAATGTCACTGCAACAATGATTTTCACATGTCCCAGTCACCATTAAGCACAAGGCAAAAAATTTGGCCAGACATAAACAATAGGATCTGGAAACCGATGCCACCAACCCCTGAAGAGGGAAGGGAGGGGAAGGCTGCTGGGACTACTCTGGTGAAGTTTGAGTCTGGTTCTTCTGTTCTGCTTATCCCTGCTTATAACAAGCCTGGCTTTCCCACTGTCCCCACCAAAACAGCCTCCAATCAAGCAGTCCCCTTTTCCTATCACTTTCAAACCTGTCCCATAGTCATCCTCGGTCCGTTTTATGGCAGCAGCCTCACAACTGCTGCAGGACATCAGCGGAGTCCTGTTACTTTCCTCTCCTGCCTTGGCTCACCCTCTGTGAGAGCTGTGTTGGGAGCACTTTGCTGGCTTGGGCTCTGCCCCCTGACTTCACATCACCTCTGAAAAAGGCTGCACCAGCCTGGTCAAACAGCTACTGTGGTATAGGTGGAGAAAGCTGGCTATGTGGCCAAGAGCACAACTAAATTTTTCTGAGGCACTGAGCATTCCCTACTCGTGGCTGCTTCATCACAGTTCTGCCATCTCTTGCCCAGGAGGGAGGGAGCATAAGGTCTGTGTAAGGCAATGCAATTTGGACTGAACAGCATTTTATGTCTACTTACTACAGATTACAGGACATGGGCAAGTAAAAGGTGAAGGAGAAGCTGCATCCTGTCTTTATTCATTTTTACAGCTCACCGGTGATTCTGCCTTTGCAGCCTTGTCCATCCAACATAATAGAAATAAAATCATTGAAACTCTGGATAATTTGGCATAGCCTTGGTGTATATGGGCAAAGATGGGCTCAGCATTTTGCTGGTCTTCAAGCCTGGACTAGTACGTGGCTGTAATTAAGCCAGCCTACACTTTGCTCCCAAGGCCTAATGAAGCAGCCTGTGGCTACTACAATGTAGCTGTGATCTAGCAGCAAACATTTATTCCCTGCTGTGCCCTTAGCGCTGGCATGAGGCAGAACAAGAAGGTCTACCCTGGCTTGTTTCCCATTCAGAGAAGTCCCCACAGGCGATGCCGAGGCACAGTCTCAGAGCACAGCGGTACCTCGATTCCCACAGGCAGACATTCAAACACCTGCTTTAGCTATAATGATGCTAAAGTGAGTTGTAACAATGAAACTAATGTAATAATGACAAGGAACAGTAGAAAAAGTCAAGCACATACATAACTCATTGGACAAACTGTTTTGTAAACTGAAGCTGTATTATCTGAAAAATGACATGTGACCATTTCATGACAATTAAAGACCTTGTATCTTATTTACCTGCAGAGGGGGAAGATTTAAACCAGGGTTTCAGCTTCAGTGTTGGCATTTCTTGACCTCAAGTATTTTTGTCATGTTGAAAAAAGACCATCATTAGTGAGAGCTGACAAAAGGTATTTATACCTAAAAGAAGGAGAACCAATCCAAACCAAAGTACGGATCCTTAATCATGTATCATTTAACTTTTCAGCACTTAGGTGATTCTGGTGTTACTGGTTTGGATTATTTTTACCACCTTTAGATGTTGCTGTGTTGAGAACTAGCCTAGGTCGCTTTACTGAAGCAGGGATCATCCTCAGCTGCACTTGAATTCACTTAACTGAGTCAGCTCTAATAGGTCTAGAGGAGAACAAAGGTAAATGCTTCCTCCTGAAAGCCTTATCTGCAGACCACTTAAGCAAATTCATATGCACATTACCACAAATGAAGTATTTACATTTTTAACAGAATATAATTGAAAAGGTCAAATAACAACAAATATGGCAATCTAAATCCCTCATGCCCCTCAATAAATCTTTCCACAACAAATAGACAGAGAGAAAGGAAAAGAGGCAGCGGTGTGTGATTACCAGAGCAATAGCGCTGAAGCAATACACTGCAGAAAGCACATAGCTCTCTGTACAGAAATCAATTTCTCCCATGGGATGGGGTCGATAGTTGTCTGACAGGACAGTATACAGGCAATTTAATAGCATTTTATCTAAATGAATCTATTCCTCCCGCCCACTGGCCTCACAGTTCACAAGAAGGCTCTCAGTAAAATAGATTTATTTATTTTTTATCATACAACAGGAAAGTATTTATCATTCTGAAGACACTACCATTGTCTATTAAAATACATTTATCCCTGTTAGTTGCTCATTACCCACAACT